TCGAGGGCGCCTCCGCTCCCGTAAAACATCGGCTCCTCCTCGCTGAGTTTGAGCCACTCCTGGCTCGCACCGGCACCGGCGCCGGCGTTGGCGCCGGCGTCGGCGACGCCGTCCGCGTCCGCGTCCGACGTCCACGCCCCGAACGAGACCACCTGACCAAAAGCACCCGAGAGAGCTGACTTTCTCTCCCGGGAAGCGCCGCGGGCCGCGCCGGCACCGCTGACTCGTCCCGCCAGGCGACCACACGCGCGGACGCGGCCAGCGATCCGCCCTCCAGCGAGCCGCGAGCGCGCCTCTCTCCTCTCGCTCTCTCTCCTGGCGGCGGCCTCTCTCCTGCTCTTTTGGCGCCGGCGCTGGCTCTGGAGGTGGATCGGCCGCCGGGGCGGGCTCGACGATCTCGTTCTTGTTGTTGCAGGAACAGCAGTCCATGGCGCGCAGACGTGCTGCCGCTCACTGTAGGCGGGTTGCAGCTGTGGGGCGACGGGGCGGGCTGGCGGCGAGCGCTGCAGCGCCGCCTTTTTACGCGGGCGCCGCGATTTTGGCCAAAAAGTAAATTCCGTGGAATTCCTTTGGCGCGTTGGGTAGCGCACACCTCTCCTTAAAATCCCTGTGTGGTGGCGGCGTGCCGTCCTCCCATCCCTCCCTTGGGTTGTCTGCTTTCTTTCTTTCTTTCTTTCTTTGGGTAGCGAGGATTGGTGTAACCCGAGCCACGGAGGCGTGTTTTCTGACGGCCGACCGTCAGTGCACCGACAAGCCGCCCGACGTTGGGCCTCTGCCCCGCACGCTCCCGCCCCTCGGCCCCTCACACACACCCAGGCCCGACATGCACATACAAGACAAACCCGGCGTCCTGCTCTCAAAAGAAAAGAAAAAATGGGAAGGAGGAGACCAGCGGGGGAGACTCCCCGCCTATGCAACACCCCTGAGACGGATTCTTTTTATTTCCCAAATGTCAGAGGCGAAGGTGACACAGGCGTCCGAGGCGCTGCTGTCCTTCCTCCGCGACACGCTGGGCTCTGCGCCGGAGCAGCTCTTCGCGGGCGCGCCGCTCCGCTCGCACCTCGACCAGGTGCGCGGCCGGATCGAGACCGCCGAGGCGGAGATGGTCGAGGTCGTCAGTGCGCTCCGGCCGGAGATGGAGACGACTTTCGCGCTCGGCGAGAGCGTCGCCGAGCGCCTCCGCCAGCTGCGCGGCGGGCTCGAGTCGGTCGGCCACGAGGCGCTGCAGCAGCGGCTGCAGGGCATCTCTGCGCGGCGCGGGCGGCTCCGGGAGGAGATCGCATCGGCGCAGTCGGTGAGCGCCGTGCTGCAGGCGCTGTCCCGCATGCACGTCTCTCTGGAGGGCTTCGACGCCGCGCTCGAGGCTGGCCGGCTCGGCGATGCCTCCGTGGCGCTGCGGTCTGCGAGCGCGTCGTTCGGAGGCCTGTGCTGCCTCGGTGTGGCGGACAAGGCGCTGCTCGGGCTTTTGCGCGAGCGGACGGGCGCCGCGCGCGAGTCGCTCGCTGCCGCCGCCGCCGCGGCGTGGGAGGAGGCGGTGCTTGCTGCGGGCGGCGAGGGCGGCGGCGAGGGCGGCGAGGGCGGCGGCGAGGGCGGCGAGGGCGGCGGGGAGGGCGGCGGCGAGGGCAGGGAGGGAGGCGGCGAGGGCTGGGAGGGAGGTGGCGAGGGCGGTGAGGGAGGTGGCGAGGGCGGTGAGGGAGGCAGCGAGGGCGGTGAGGGAGGCAGCGAGGGCGGCAGCCATCTTGGTGGCGAGTGCGGTTCCGGCGAGGGAGGCGGCGGCGAGGGAGGCGGCGGGGAGGGAGGCGGTCGGGAGGGAGGCTCGCTCCGGCTGTTGGGCTGTGGCGTGGGGGGGCGCGTCGCACCGTCGATCTTGCGGGCGCTGCATGAGACGGGGACGGTACGTACGC